TTGGCCTTCGGGTCAGCTCAATTTCCCCTCCACTGAGTGGCCATTACTGTGCCTGCTCAATGATAAATGCTTTTTGCGAGAGACTGCATTGCCGGCAGCTAGCGCTAGGGAAGTCTGCCGCGGGGCCCGCCAGCCAAACTAACAGGCCGGCCCGCGCTGGGCCTGTTACCTAGCAACGTGCCTGGCCTCACCAAAATGAATAGACCCACAAACAAAAATGAAAAGGAGATAAAACGAGTCAAAGTACAAGGGGCGTGGAGGTTAATATTCCTCTATGGCATAACTTCGTTTGGGAGAATTGCATTTTAACCTTTTTTTTTTCAAAGCTGAAGGAGCTGACATATATTGGAAATTAAATTAGGCCACATTTGTATTTTTTAAAAATGTTTTCTTTTACATAGAATTTTCTTTCCCACTCCATCCACAATTCTCTAAGTTTCTCTTAAAGTGGAAAGAGAGGCAGCATTCAGGGGACCACAAGATGAATATATAAAATATTTTACTTTTCTATGTCATCTTACTGTGTGGTTTTGGACAGGGAGGTTAGATTTTCTGTTGCTCAATTTTTCTATCAATAAAAGAGGATGGCGGAGATTCTTTATTTATTAAACGCGACGAGAAGGTGAGGCAGAGGGAGGTGAGGGTTTCTGCCAGGAAGAGACTCATTTTCTTTAAACCTGAACACGACCCTTACTCTACAAGCACCTTACTTCCTTACATGTACTAAAAATTGTGCTCAGCTAAATAAATAACTTTAAGCTTTGAGATTCAAGGACTTTAAGCTTTGAGGTTCAGGGTGGCACCTAGATTATATATATGCCACCTATAGCTCACTATAGTTTTTCATTCTTTAAAAGAATTATTAATTTAATTTTATTATTATTATTTTTATTTGCTATAGGACATGTGTATTCACCAGACATGCACACACACACACACACACACACACACACACACACACAGAGAAAGAGGGAAAGTGAGAAAGCAAGCTGCTAGGTTCAGGACTCAAACTACAGCTGACCATATGGGAGTTCAGTGACTTAACCACCAGGCCACCTGCTGGTCCCTATTAGGCCACTTTGATATTGTGTGTATGTGTGTATAATGTTGAGCATCTGCAGTCCACCAGGTACTGTATAAGGCCTTTTTATTTATGTACTACTGTTTATAAGGTAAAAATGAATGGATGAGTCCAGATTTTTGTTTCATAAAGTCATTTGACAATTTTTTTAGTGCCTATCTATCTAAGGATTAGTTATACTTTTTAGCTGGTTGGAAGAAATATAAACAGAAATATAATTGCAGAAATATTTGTGCATTGTTGCTAAATCTTTCAATTCCCCATTGGCATCCTCCCAATCATTGACCTAGCCCGGACCACTGCTCATCTGGGTTACTGATTCACTAGTATCCAACTAATTTCTCAACTTCAAATCTTCAAGCAGTGTGCTCTTTGCCAAAGTTAGCTGCAAAGTTATCTTGCGTTCAGTATTTTAAATCCTCGTTTGGTTCTTTGTTGTCCAAAGTCTTTACCATGGTTCAGAAAGCCTCTCATGGTCCTCATCTCTGAGTTTCCAGATGAACCTGCCTCAGCACACTCTATTCCCTGTGTCTAGAATGTGCATTATGGTTGCACTTCTTCATCTAGAAACTCTTCCTCCTTCCTTAAGATAAGGGTCACATCCATCTTTTCTGCCCTCAGGCAGAACCAGCCCTTCTGTCAGAGGACCAAATGGCCTTTTCTAAACGGGTTATTTTCTCACCTTGAGCAAGTTGTCTATGCTGTCTATCCTCATCTGTAAGATGGTGCTAATCACAGCACCCACTTCATAGTGCTGCTCTGAGGAGTAAGGAGTTGATAACATAAACTCAAAAATGCTTAAAACCAAGCATGCAAGAAATGCTACATTATTGCTCTTACGTAATCTCAGATATAACATATATGCTATATTTGTTCACTTAATTGTCTCCGTCTTCAGAGGATAAAATTCCTCAGAGCAGGGAGCACTCCTTAGTTAGCTTTGCATTTCCTGTGCTGGGCATTCTGCTTGCCATTATATGAAGCACTCAACAACGGTTTGCTCTAATGAGGAATGAATGAATGAAAGAAAGAAATCATGTTCAGTGTTTCTAGGGCCACTGGGTTAATGAGGGATTTTGTTCCCCATATGGTTTTGTATCCTTTCTCTTTAAAACAAACTTTTCACACCTAGTTAACTTTCCTCATAAGGCTTTTGGCTTTAGGATGCTCACTCATATAAGTGTTCCTTTCTCAGTCTTCTACCTGTATCAGAAAACCATCATAAACTTCCTTTTATTACATGGGCTGAACTTGAACACTTGAATTCCAGAGTTGCCCGGGAAACCCCTGTAAAGTGATTGTGCTATTTTTTGTTTCATAGCTGTTAGATTTAGCTTCACTGTAGATTGCCTGTAAACTTTACGGGGTTCCATTTTTAAGCCAGGATTCTGACTTCTCACTTACTTCTCTCTTGTGTTATAAGAAACAGAATCGATATTATATTTTAAAAGAGAAAGAATATGCTTATTTATCTATCTGCTACAAAAACTCACATTGAGCACAAATCATTACTTTTAAAAGCAGTCACAAACTTCTAGCCTGGTCATGAAATAAAAGTGCAGGGCCCAGGGCCCTGCAGACTCTCCATTATATTGATAGGTGTGTAGCATTAAGAAGAGGTCAGGGAAGAGAGAGAAGAACATGGACGTGGGTGTTGTTTCCAAACAAAGATAAATCACTTCCCCGAGGACACCCAAGAGAAGATGAAACTTTTTGGTAAACTTAAAAGCCTGACAAATCTGTTTTTCTTCTTTTTTTACTTTCAAGAGAGGCAGCTCTACCTGCCAAAAGAGCAGGGACTTTGAAGCCAAATGGACCTAGAAACCAGCCTGGCTTTACCGTTTGACAAGATGGGTTCAGCTGGCCAAAGTGCTTCCCTTTCTGACCCTTGGTTTCTTTCTCTGTAAAATGATCATCTTCCTTAGAGAATACATACTGGGATTAATGAGAAATCATGTATAAAATACCATGTAATGCTCAGTCATTATTAGCACCTCTTCAATCTTTTTTCTTTTACTCTTTCTTTTTTCATTTAGTAAAACAAACCTCAGACACGTCATCTTAATCCTGAGGTTTTTCTTTCTGTCACCAGGATACTGGCCTCCAACGATGGAAGTCCACTTTAAGGCTCTGGCCCCAAAATAATCTAATCCTTTTTTTTTTTTTTCTCAGTTCCCTTTGAGATGCTCAGGAATATTAGAAAGACTAAGGGACTATATTAAATGGAGGAGAAATGCAAAGGATATCAGAGATAAGTAATGAGAGGCTCATAAAGCAGTTATATTATGTGGTACTTGAATCCTGGCTGTGTGATTCTTGAGCCGCATCTTTTCTTCATTTTGTTTTGCTGTAGTACATGTGCCAGAGAGAGATGGGGTGGGGGGGTTGCCATGCCGCAGTGCCTTCTCCTCCCTTCTCCTCTTGGGATTTGGGGCATGCATGTACACATGCCAGCCGTGATTTTTCAAGCTACAAGGTTCAAGACTGGAACTGTGCAGTCACTCATGTGGGATCAGGTGCCTTAACCTCCATACCACCTGCTGGCCCGAGCCTGTGATTGTAACCACTACTCTGAGCACAAAGACAGGATTATTTGGGGACAGCAACATGGTACTAGAAAGGACACTAGCTTTGCCTCCAGACTGCTGGAATGTGAATTTCCCATTCAACCACAGCAGGTAGCGAAGCTTTCTGTGACCTAACTGCCTATATGCTGGTGTAGCAGTGACCAAGGTGGGCATGTCCTCATCTTCATGGAGCTCATGGTCCATATAATGTCCCCAACTGCCAATGTCTTCATCCATAAGGTTGCCACACTTCTCTCTTTTATGGGAAAACTGAAATACCCTGAAGAGGCTAGTAAGCATGTCCTTTGTATATTAAGGACTTTGTTTACATTATCTTATTTCATGCCCCCCAATATTTTATTATACAAATAAGAAACTGAAGCCATTTGGTCTAGTCAGCTGGGGCAGACTCTGAACTAGATCTGTCGGCTGCCAACACCCATGTTCCCAATATCATGCTTAGGAGTGAGAAGCAGCTGGCAGAACACCAGGTGTAAACTGCAGACACTGCTCCATCAATTGCAGTCTTCCTCTCTTCCTCCTACCTGCCTTCCTGTCCTCACTTTTTTTTTTTTAGACAGAGAAATTTTTACTATAGGATGTGTACACTAGCTAGAGAGATAGACAGAGAGACAGGAAGTGAGAAATCATCCCCTGTGGGGGATGGCCATGCCCTAATCCCTTCTCCTCCATTCTCCTCTCTGGATTTTGGGCATATATGCACACGCGCCCAATGTGAGTTTTAAACCGCCAGGTCTGGGACTTGAACTGCACTTGACAATGTTGAGAATCCAGCAACGTAACCACTACACCATCTGTTGATCTCCCACCCTCTCTCTTAGGTGTCCAGGTAGTGAGATCATGGAAACAAGAGAGAGTTGGAAAGTGGAGAAGAATGACAGACGCAGTGCACTTCTCACTTTTTCCTAGGGTGGTCCCACAGCCAGTGACCTATATTCGAGTGTCTCTCAAATTAGTTTGAGTTTCCTAACCTTCAGTAGTTGGGAAGATCCTGTAATTATATTCGTGAGTTTTGCGTGGTTTTAATCTCTCTTCTTTCTCAGTTTACACTCTTTAATTTGTTTCCTTGTGTCTCACATGCTCCCTCTCCTGTGCCCACACCCAGGCCCAGGATAATGAATGGACTCATACTAATTACAAGGTCGTGATTCCATCAAGGGCTTGGAGGCTGCTGTTGTTTCCATCAGCGACTTGCACTAAGCTCCAGGGGCTTATAACTCATCAGTGTCTTGATGGAAATTTGGCCTGGCAATCAAGATCTAATTGTTCTGGATGCTGTACACATGTTGCTCTAGAGAAAAACAACTTCAGAATCTCTCGCTCTCTTGTAGTGATCACTGCTGATATGTCTCCGAGGTCTGCAATTACTATCTACAGGTAAGTTTGAAAAATGTCTTAGCAGCTTGGAATGAGAATAACTTACATGCAGGATGGATCTTGAAGAGGAAGCTCTTTGTGCCAAGAAATTATCTTTCATTGACCCTAATTGACTATTTCACAAGATTTATGGCAATGGAATCAGTTACCACAGGAAGTACAGGCCTGGAGAGTCTAGGACTTGGAAACTATACACACTGTATTTATTGGCAGGGATGTGGATACCAACACTTAATGAGCATCGCAGTTATAGAGCCAGTATTTAATCCTCATAACAACAACCCTGTAGTTAACTATTATTAGTCCCATTTTACAGATGAGAGAAATGAAGCCCAGAAGGAATAAGTAACTTGCCTAAGACCATAGGGCCAGGAGGTGGAACTCAGGCTCAGATCTGGGGCTCCACAGCCATTGCTATTCCACCACGCTGTACCTAGAGAGGAAAAAGCTACAACAGCGGGTCTAGATGAGCCATCCACACTGCAGTGAAAGGAAAGGTTCAGGGAGTGCAAACAGAATTGCTGCAGAGGAGGCTGATGGGAGATAAGCAGCGGCCAGGAGTGCTGGGCAGCTTCATTTGTCACCTCAGGGCAGTGGTGGAGAGAGAAGTCCATGTCATGGTAGTGGAAAGTTCTGACCAGAGCAAGGCAGGGCATTGAGGGCCTCAGCAGGTAACGGAGAGCAACACTGGAATTCCAATTGTGCTCAGAGTGCCAAGAGGTTCCCACTTGGTCAGTCCAGTTTTCCGAGAAGAGTGCCAGGGCCTAGAACGCACTCAAAGACATTTAAGACCCATGGTTTCTGCCCTCATGAATCCATGTGTGACTGGGAGAAAGTACATGTGTACTCTGTACCGTAAAGGATGACAATGTATTGATAACACCACGTGGAAGAAGTGTCAGAGTAGTAAAGACTTCACATGGGGTGTGTGCTCTCTCCCCCCCAAGTCAGTTTCTCTCGGGAGAGAGAGCAGCACCTTAACAGTGCTAAGAAGTCCTTCATGACTGTTTTCTTGTCCTTCTCTATGGCCCCTCCCACTATCCCCTTCCTCTCAGCACCACAGCCACTGTGAGCGCCTGTGTCTCTGTCATGCCCTGTCACTCCTCCAGAACTTGGTGCATGCTAATCCCCCACTGCGATACCCTTCGCCTGACTACAACCAGTCTCCGAGGTCATCGCAGCATTCTCATTCCAGGAAGACTCCTCTGACCTCTGAGGGGTCTTTGGCCATTACAGCAGTCTGTGCTCCCCAGATACAATATAGACCCTCCAAGAGCTGGGACCATATTTATTTTGTTCACTGTTGTATGACCACACCTGGAATTGTGACAGGAAAAGAGTTGGCACTAAAAAATATTTGTTGACCGAGTAGATCATTCATTGGTCACTCAGCATCTAGTAGATTGCTGGGAACTTCTTAAAGATCTAGTTGTTATTTGAAGAGCTTAATATATATTAATGAATTAAATCCTCATGACAGTCCCGTGAGGTGGGAACTGGAGGTGCAACAGCTAGGCCATCTGGCACCAGAGTCTGTACTCTTACCCACTACACCATACTGCTCTAAGGACAGTCACAGAAAGGAATGCATTGGCCACATGGGAATTACTGTGCCATTTTTCTGGAGTCTTGGAGGTATAGAGTGTATAGAGTGATATTGTGTTGGTTTAAGTCCTGAATGGGGCTGCTCACATACACTTTGCTATAAGATGTTCTGATTCAGGTGAAGTCCCAAACTGTCATCGCCGTCCCTATTAACAGAAAGGGTAACCAGAAAAGACTTCCAAAAACATGAGGGAGGGCCGAAGAGGTTGGTCATCCTCTATCTGGAAGGTCAAATGAAGAGTCCTCATCTGACTGTGTATAAGGTCACAAATGAGTTGAATGCCTTGAAATGTCATTCATAAGCAGCATCTGCTATAATTCACACCTTTTCAGAACGTGATAGCATATTAGCAAGCATGGTAACTGAGGCCCCAACACCTGCAGATGAGAAAACACAGATGGAATCAATCCACTAACAGATTTGGTTACATGTCAACTGGTCAAAGGAGAGAGGAGGGGTTAAAATAACATTCCACTCGTCACAGTAATTCTGTTCATGACTGCTGCAGAAATGAACACCCCACAAATATCCTCAAACTGTCTCTAGACCCACTACTTCATTGCTTGCTTTGACACTATGTCAATAACACGAGGTTCACCCACGGAGACCATATTCACTTATATTCCTTCACAAAGTGTGTTACTCAGCCATTCTGTTATAGTGAATCACCAAAGTCTACCAAGCTGCCATTGGGTGCCAGCATATGCTGGTTGACACCCCAATGATGGCACTTTACAGCAAGCACCTGTGACTCTCCCTGAGAGCTTTTCCAGGTCACAGAAGCATGGTTGGCCAGTAGGGACAGCAAACGAAAATGCCAGAGGATTCCTGCCCCTGGAAGTAGCCTTCAACAACAGATGAGCAGTTGTTGGATAAATACCCCAGCTCCCTCAACCCGCAGTGGGACATTGCTGAGGCTTGTTCCACATGGTTTCACAGAGTTCTCCAGAGGAAACTTGATACTTGCTTGATGATTCTCCAAGTCTTGTTTCCTTCCTCATTCCCTCCTTCATGTTTCCTAGGATCATCTTCCAATTAAACTGTTTGGCCTTGAATGCTGGTCCAAGGGTCTGCTTCCAGGGAAACCCAAGGTAAGACTGATAAATCTTGGGCATATTGAGACAATAACAACAGTCTCTGCTTTTGAGATATTCACAGTCTAGAAGGTGAGAAAAGCAAAGCAAATTGATGAATATAAATGCACAAAAAATGCTATACTAAAGGCATGCCTAGAGAATTATGGAGTATAGGAAAGAATCACCAGAGACTCATGGTGGGTAGGTGGTGGATGGTGTGGAGCAGTCACAGGGAGCTTGTGGGAAAAGGCAAGATGTGTTCATTGCTTGCTTTATGATAAGTATTATGCTATAAAATAGTTTAATATTTGTAGATTGATCTATCAAACAACTCCTATACCTGTGCAGTTACAGGAACACAACAAGGGGCCAGCAAGTGGTGTGGTAGTTAAGATGCTGGACTCCCACATGGTTGAATGTGGTTCAAATCTCATACCCAGAAGCTTGAAGCTCACACCATATGCCTATGCATGTGTGCCCAAAATTCCAGGAAGAGAATGGAAGAGAAGGGATTATGGCATGGCCATTCCCTCTAGCAGGAGGAATGACTTCTCACTTTCCCACTCTCTGTCTCTCTCCAGCAAGTACATGTGCCCTATGGCAATAAACCTAAACAGAGAAAAGAAACACTACAAAATAACATTTGATTGAGTCAATACTTTATATCTCTAATGGTTTGTATTCTGAGAAAATACCCCTACGATAGACATATGTTGAGGTATGTTATTCCTGAGACCTGGGTTTCTGTGCAAGCATCCTCTCACCCAGTCTGGACCTGCAGTCAAGTAGCGAAAGTACATTCATTCTCCGAGAGCCTGTTGTACGTGTATCTTTCCCAGCTCACTGCCGGTATTTGTTTACGTGTGGCTCCTCAATCCTCATCACATCCTCTGTTATGCTCCCTACTGGTTTTCTTTATCTGAATAAAAACAGTTCATTATTATACACTTCTTTAGCTTCCTGCTTTTAGATCTCTCACTAGACTCTAAGCTCCATGAGGGTGCAGGGAGTTTTCTGTTTCGTTCACCATTGCATTACCCTGTACAACAGCACCAGGCATGTAATGGGTGTCAGTAAGTGTGTTGAAGAAATGGATTGCAGAATGGCTAAAAGACCATGAACTCCTTGTAGAAAATGGCAAGGCTGGGCCAACCCTGTAGCCTAATAGTTAAGGGAGCCAGAGCCCACGTGACTGACTGTACTTCAAATTCTGGCCCCAGTAGCTTGCCAAACATGCTGGGTACATGTCCAAAATCCCAACAGGATGGAGAAGTGGAGACTGGATTGCAGTGCAATCACACCCCATTAGGGAATGCTTTCTTGTCTCTTTCTCTTTCTGTCTTTCTGAACCCCTTTGGCATACACAAGCCCCCTCTGGCAATTAAAAATTTTTTAAAAAAAGGAAGAAAAGACCTACCGATCACTGTACATGGTTCCCAGCACATGGCCTGGTAAGGGATGTCTGCCAAGTGCCAGGCCATGTAGTGTGAACCAGCAGATGATGTAATGGTTATGTCACTGCGCTCCCACGTGGTTGACTGCAGTTTGAGTCCCAGGGAAGCAGACCTCCATTTTGAACTCCTTTCTATTGGAAACTTGCTTTCTCCTTTTGCCTAGAGTAAACAGAGTAATTAACACTCCTACTGCCTTTACTAAATAACCTGAAACTCTCTACCCTATCAGTTGCCAGACCCCTTGCCTTGAGTCATGAAGACCATTACGATTCCATTGTGTTAAAAAAAAAAAAAAAAAAAGATTCCATTGTGTTTAGGTAGGAATGGAACATACCCTTAGGAATGATTAATCTGCTTGTTTTACTTCTGTAATTCGCTTTTACTTTCACATTGTCAAACCCTACTCCCTGCCCTTTCAAGTCCACCACTCTTTGTTCTTGTGATTACCCGTCAACCCTGACAAGAGTGTAATTTTTGCCTTTATAAGCACCCCTCACCTTGCACTCAGGGCTGTGTGGTTTTGAGATACATGAGTCCCCCCACATGCCGCCAGTTTAATCAATAAACTCCAATAAATTTGGCTATGTCTGGATATCCTCTTATTTCTCACTGATTAGACTATAACACAAGACCTAAGGGCAATGAAACTAACAACCAAGTATGCATGCCCAAAATCCTGAGAGGAGAATGGAAGAGAAGGAATTGCAGTGAGGCCGTCCCCCCAGGGGGTAATTTCTTGTCTTTCTGTTTCTCCGTTTCTCTGGTGAGCACACACCCTCTATAGCAAAAGTCTCTCTTAAAAGAAAAAAAAAATGTATATTAAATAATTTTTTTAAAGCCCAGTGCTCAGGAATATTCCATGTTAGTGACAGAAGGAAATTAAGGCAGAATGCTGAATGCCCTTTCCATTTGTCTTCTTTTCTTGGTTGCCACTTTTCTACAAATAGAAAATCATTTCCTTAATCACAAGTGGTCATCACCGAGCTTCTGTGTCAATCACACTTCCTACTTCTTCAGCTGTTTGGGCAGAGCCCAGAAGCTCTTTCGGTCACATCGCAGAGCCTCACAAGAGGGTTGGGACTAGAAGCCAAGTTGGTTTGGAGTAAAGCAGCCACTGCCAGTGTAATTACCCAAATGAGAGCCCGGCCAAACTGCTCAGGGTTAGCCTCTTATTCATCTCAGAACCCCGGCTTTGACAGGTAATCGGGTTACTTTCAAAAAGGAGATAATCTTTCTCCAGTGAGTTGTTGAATATCCAAAAAAGAAGCCATAGGAGAAAGCTAGTTCCCAGAACTCTTAGAAGCAGCAACTCCCTGCGTCCACATCAGTTTTAACTTAGGCCCTTTCTTGGCAGGCGTCTCATAAAAGTAGAACCTTTCTGAGACATTTTGATCTCTCTTTAAGAAGTTTTGTGCTCCTGGAGGATCACAAACCTTGGGTACCAGCTGGAAGACCATTTGCTCCAAACCCCTATCTCCCAGTTGATCCTTAAGTAAACTCTCTAAGAATAGTCATGGCTTTTGTGATAAGGACTTTTAACATTTGGTTTTAAGTCTATACTGAGGGTGAAATAATTATGATGATATTAGCCCTAATAGTAATTACTGTCTATTGAGCTATCTGTGCATTATCTCATTTAATTCACAAAGCATCCCCACAGCTAGGTACTATTATTATTTGCATTTTACAAGTGAAGTAATTGAGACGTAAAGGGATTAAGTAACTTATTCAAGGCCATATGGCTTGTAAGTAGTGCAGCCAGGATTGAAAGCCAGACACTCAATTCCAGAACCCTCTGCTCTTAGCTCATGAATAGGATATGAAAAGCCTTTCTCCTCTGGGAGATTAGAAAGCCATACCACTTTGCAATTTGAGTCTCTAAAGGACATAGCTTCACACAGGAGCCTCTTTGCAAACAGATTTTACATGAAGGATGAAGGATGTAACGCTAAAAAGAGATACGAGGAAGTAAATTCTAACTGCTTATGGCTTATAAGGAGAGCTAGTCATGTATTTTCTTTTTTAAAAAATAATTATTTCATTTTATTTATTATTATTATTTTAATTTGCTATAGGGAATGCATGCTCAGCAGAGAGAGATGGAGAGAGAGAAAGAGAAAAAGTGAGAGAGCAAACCACCAGGCCTGGGACTTGATCCACAGCCAACCATGTAGGAGTCCAGCATCCCAACCACCATACCAACTGTTGCCCCCATTCATGTATTTTCTAACCTGTTGCTAGATAAATGAAACACCAAGACAGAGCAGAAACTGGAAGTCCAGTCCCTTAACCCCCTTATGACAGGTCCCTCTTGGGCTTTGAATGACGAAACCAATATTCCAAAATGTCTCCCAAGATCAGAATGTGAGTAACCTCTTGTTTTTTCTTTATATTAATCACGTTAGGCTATATCGTGCTGCAGTAACAATGAGCTTTACATCTCAGTCACTTAAAACACTAAGGATTCATTAGTGTTGCAAATTCATGCTGCCTGTTTTTCATAGGTCTACTAGTTTTTGTCTCAAAGGAGATGTGGACTAATGGTACCTTCCTTGTCTGGAATGCTGATAGTCCATCTGAATAGGAAAGGGACCTGGCAAACCACTCACTAGTTTTGTTTTTTTTTTAAGACATTTTTGCTCTAGGGCAGGGGCACTCTCCAGAGAGGGAGACAGAGACTGTGAGAAGGAAAGTGAGAAATCACCTCCCAGAGTAGCTCATCATGCTGCACTCCCTTCTCCTCCCTTCTCCTCCTGGGATCTTGGGCACGCATGCACACGCACCCAGCATGATTTTCAAGAGGCCAGGTCTGGGTGGGTTGCATGATTTTCAAGCCTTCAGGTCTGGGACTTGAACTGTGATTGGCCATGTGGAAGTCTAGTGACATAACCACTACACCATCTGCTGGCCCAGACCACTCACTAGTTCTTAAAGGTTCCTGCCTGCAAATGACACATCACTTTTGTATGCAATTCATTCTTTAAAGCAAATCACATAGACCCTACTAACTCTAAGTACATGAAAATTTTGCTGAGAATGAGAAAAAGTTGAAATATTGGCTCCATAGGGTGGTGGTTAAAGAAATCAGATCTAACCTGGCTGATCATGGTTCAAGTCCTGGCGTGGAGGCATGAAAAACAAACTGGGAGCATATGCCCCAAATCCTGACGGGATAGAGAGATATAGGGAAAAGGATCGCAGTGTGACTACACCTCACTTGGGGGGGGTGCGTTCTCTCTCTTTTTCTCTGTTGAACACATACATCCTCTCACAATTAAAAAAATGTTTAAACAAAATATTGGTACGTAGCATTAATGGCTCCCATATCAAATCTTTCAATCGTACTCAATATGCTTAACTAAGAGCAGATTCATTTGATATCATAAATCATGATTATTTCAAGCAGTCGATCACTTAATCTACCAGATATTTACTTTGGCCATTGACTCTCCATGAATGGGTCTCTTTTACATAACCGTGAGCTTTGAGGGCTGTGAGTGGTCTTATTTATTTTTGATTACTTCGTGCCTGGTACAGTGTTAGGAGCATATATATTGGTCT